TCTGCGGCAGTGGGACCGGCCGCGGGCGGCACCCCCCCCACACACCTCCGCCTCACCCCACACACCTCCGCCTCACCCCACACACCTCCGCCTCACCCCACACACCTCCGCCTCACCCCACACACCTCCGCCTCACCCCACACACCTCCGCCTCACCCCACACACCTCCGCCTCTCCCCACAGATGGCCCAGAGGCTGGCGCTCCGGCAGCTGCTGTCCCTCACCCCCAGGACGCTGCCCCCACGGGGTCCCCTGGCACCGCGGGCACCCCCCGGCAGGGCCTTCGGCACCTCAGCTGGCTGCAGGAGCACCTTCAATGTGCAGGACGGCAGCGACTTCCAGGACCGGGTGGTGAACAACCCCAAACCCGTTGTGGTGGACTTCCACGCGCAGTAAGTTCCCCCCCAGAGCTCTCGTGCCCCTCTCTGCCATCACAGGTGCTGATGTGTCCCTGCTGCTTTCCTGACACGGTGGCACTCTGGGCACATGGGGGAGGCAAATGTGGCCGAGGGCTTCCCAAGCTGTGGAGCTGCCGACCGCCCTGCTGGGCATCTGGTGTTAAAAGGTGCTTCTGCCCTTACAGCACCATCCAGAGAGGTTTCATTTCTGGGGTTGCACCACCGTAGGTGTAGCTACACCCTGCAGGAGTGTAAAACACAAGTGCCGTGAAGGAGTTCCCCAGGGCAGCCTGGCTGAACCTCCCAAGTGCTCGGTGTCACCCTGGCCCCAGCATTGCATCATCCTGCAAAAGACACCTCGAGAAAAAGCTCTGATATCTCCCTTTTTTAGCTTCGTGGATTAAATGTCCTCTTAAATACACTAAATGGTGTTAACAGCCATGGAAGAACGCTGCACTTGGTATAACCCTGCACCGTCATGTTGTGCCTTTCCGGTTTTCTTATGCTACGTGCTCTTGAGGCAGGACTCTTGACAGCAAATGCCTTTATTAATAAATAACAGCCACGTGATACCAATGGCAGCACTTGTCATTGATAAAAATGTTGTCATCCTCTTGCCAGTAAAAATATTCCTAGATGTTATCTGCTGGATTAGCAATACTGATTGTCTTTGTTTTCTCATGTATTTTCATAGTCCCACAGTGCTGTCACGTGAGCCTGTTGTGGCTGATTCTGGGCAAACACAGTACGAAACAGCCTGAAAGCTTCTGCTCTAAATAGACCGAACTGGCAAAACAAAATTAATGTTAATTGGGATCATCCAGAGAGGAGAGGACAAATAATTGAAAGCGTGAAACCTGATACAGAGGGAGGCTGAGGAGGAACAAAGTTTCCCAGAGCTTCAGTTTTAAAAGAAAAGGGCACTTAGAGCTTTAACTCATATTTTCCTTGAACTAAGTAAGTTCATGCCATCCTAACTGGTGCAGTTAGAGGATGCAGGGGGTGTTTTCTGTGCACGGGGCCTGGCAACATCTGCTGTTGCCGCACCTGGGTCTGGAATAGGTGGTCTCTCTTTGAACAGACGTGATGCCTCTGTGAGCTTTGCAGCTAAAGGGGAATTTCTGTAAACCCTGCAGTGAGTGTGGAGGGGAAGTCTGTGATCCAATGATTGGCATAAACTGATTGGAGT